TGTTACCCTAGCAGGAGCAGGCAAGGCCACACGTAACCTCTAATGGTTAGCTGCCTAGTGCTTAAGCGATCATGGTCTGCTAAGGTTCTTGTGGACTTCCATTTTGATACAACGGCATCAGAATGCTGTACGGTTTTACTAGGTTCTAATAATTTCGACGTAGCAGTAGTCCGTGTGGTGACGGATTAAGAATACAGGGTGTCAACACCCCTATTCATCCCGTGGGTGTCGTAAGAGCCGACAAAGGAAGAAAACTACTCAGAACAACAGCACTGCAGTGAGAAGGAAAACTTGACATAAACCCTATACCAACCCGTCAGGCCAAAACCTCCTTTCTAAGGAGAGGTTTATGTCCAGCAGTGGACTATTAAAGGTCGTTGTGTTGATTTCTGAGTAGAGTTTGTGACGTAGTTTCACTCCTAGTTCTGGTGCCGTGATACCCGTGAGTATCAAGGTAAAAAAGCCGTGACAACTCAAGATAAGGAACGACTGATTTGAAATTTGAGATTATATTTATACCTACTGGGTGTACTCACCTTAATAGTTTGCCATTTTAAGTTGGATATAAATTCCTATTAAAATGATTTCAATGTATTTGATATGTGAAAAAGCACGCTATGGATGCGACTGTTACCACCTAAGGTTCCACAAAATCTGCACACCTGGGTTTTACGAGGTTTGTTTTTAAATAACTTTAGGTTTAGGCAGTTTCTTTCTTTTTTTTTCGATTAGTGAATGAATAGTGTATTGTTTGTGGAGTTGTGAAAGCTACAGCAATACTCATGTTTATTGGCATGACAATCAGATATCACACCGACAGTAATTTGGCGAATGGTTTGAAATTAATTTCATAAGTATACCCATCGGACTCATACCTTTGACAGCCGGATAAGCCACGACCTTTCCGGTTAATTGAACATTCGTTCTTGGCTTCTAATAAATTCATATCAACTTTTCATATAAAAATGAAGTTAATTTCAGACTGAGTTATAAACTAAAAATGTTTTTTTTTGCAGCTTTTTAACGATTCCCGTGGAATTTGTTACAAAAATATGCAACATTTTGTTCCTCAGAGTTCAGAAACCTATTAAAAGTTGGAAGGTTAATGTTGTGTTAGAATGGCGCAATTATCCTTCACAAATGAAGATACCTTTTTAAAGCGGCAAAGGAGCAGTACTATTTTATAGGGATAAGTATATTGCGAGCGGGAGTTATTCGGGTTAGGGTACTTTGAAACTTCGTACAAGATGGTTTATATGTTATTATAGGATGTTTTTGTTATGAAAGTTTATATAGCATGTATTACGTACACTACTTAGAAAATACATTGGATGATTAAATTTAAAATTATTTATTTATTAATGTTCAATTTATTTAAAATTATTATCGATTTTATGAGTTTGTTTAGTGGTTTATGCGTGTGGTGATGAATTAAGAATACGGAGTGTCACCACCCCTATTCATCACGTGGGTGTCGTAATAGTCGACTAAGGTTGCAAAATACGCACAACAACAGCACTGTAAAGAGAAGGAAAACTTGAAACAAACCCTTTGGCGTCTGGCCATCGCGATGTAGTAGACCAAAACCTCCTGTCTAAGGAGAGGCCTGTGTTCAGCCAGTGGACTACTAAAGCAGTTGATGATAATGATGTTCAGTGGTTACCGATTTTGACTGCTCAGGCAGAGGTCTTGAGTATGATTCCCACAAAGGACAAAAAGTGAGTGATGAGAACGATGATATCTTTTGTGTTTTTTTTATGTAAGAGGGGGCAGACGACCAGACAGGTCACCCGATGGAAAGTGACTATCGCCGCCCATGAACGTGTGCAACTCAGGAGCCACAAACGCGTTGCCGGCCTTTTAGGAAGGAGTACGATCTTTTCTTGAAGGTTTGACGGTCGTATCGTCGTCTGGTTGTAATTTATATATAATATGTACACTTGTATAAAGAAATAAAATGAAAAAAAAAATGAGAATCTTTATTTAAAAATATAAGTGCCTGTTTATCGGCAATAGGCTCGCCCTCTGTTATATACCTACATAATACGCATAAAGAACGTTAGTCTAATATAGGTATATATATATACCTATATATGTCTTATATTATATAAAATTCTCGTGTCACAATGTTAGTTACCATACCTCCAAAACGGCTGGACCGATTTTTATGAAATTTTGTGTGCACATCGAGGTCTGAGAATCGGCCAACGTCTATTTTTCATACCCCCACATGACAAGGGTGACCCACCCCTAAATATATTTTTTCAATATTTCCTAGAAATAATGTATATGGCAAAACAACGTTTGCCGGGTCAGCTAATAATATATAATATATTACTTGTACTGGACTAGGTACACTTTTTTTCTTGCGGCAATTACTGTTTTGATGGCGTTGATAATGATAGGGACTCTGTGGGATTGTGACACACTGTTGAACGCTGTCTGTATTGGAAGTTATCTGTTTTTAGTGTGATTTCAAACTGATAGTTTACAAACGTAGTCACTGATCAGGAATATCATTAACACTCGACTTATTATACTGATTGAGAAGTTACGCTTGTGGTGAATTCGTTTTTCTATTTTTTTTTGTATGGCGTTATTTTTCTGCACTTAATAGTGCTATTATATTCAAAATATAAGCTGCAAGTATGAGTCGAGTGTTCCACAAAATGAAGAAACTTTGTCTTGCAATAGATAGTAAGCTACAGGTTTAAATTGAATATATTATAAAGGAATAAATTAGGTACATTACCCTAAAAGTGACTGGAAATTCATACTTCCAGCTGTATCTAACACGCAGTTATAGAGAGTCAGAAATATACTGGATAGATTCGAGAAAATTATGTGCTGGGTGTACATGTGTGCCTTATATCGTATTCAGGAGTAATAAAGTAAACCTGTGTGAAACCAATATCTCCAAAGGTCAAAGATGCCATTGACCTTCAAAGGTCAATAGCATCTTTGACCTCATTAAACGACATTTTTGACCTCAGGGTCAAAAATGGCGTTTAAAAGAGGAAAAATAAAAGAGCAGTGCAATTTTATTCAAGATGTTTTATTACTGAAATCAGAATAATTTACAATTGTAAAAAATACACATATCCCGATAGTTATTACGCTAAGATTAATACTTCAGCTTAAACTTTTTTGGCTTTATTTTACAGTTAAACTTTAGTTTTTTAATACTAGATGTGTTTTATATATTTTTATATGAAGAACGATTCACACGTCACTAGAAGCAGTCAAAGCTTTAATAAGACCCTACTAACTTCTACAGATAATAATATCCTTTATCTTTGTCGAAAATTATTTGAAAAACTTGAGTTCGGAGTATTTTTTGGACTGACAATTTCGGGTTTTTCTTGTTATTCTTTTGCATTGTCACATTTTTGCATTACAAAATAAATTCTGTACGAAGTTAAACCAGGTGTATTCAGTTTTATTATTTGTGCCAAGTGTGAATCGATCCCTGTACATCTCTGTTATCTCCAATTAAGTCTAACTTACCTCTTTGGCTTTAGTAGCAAATTAATGCAATTCTCGACTATTTCGGTGAAACAGATTTACAGACTAAGATATTTGCGTTTTTTTAGAGTGAAACAAAGCGGTTTTTTTTTTGTAACAGAGCATTTTAATTATTTGAATCTTCGTTAATTATTTTATTCGTGTTACAACTGGTTTGTCCGCTTCGCTTCATGAATGGCACTATAAAACATCTACCAAGCATTGTGTAAGTTTTAGTAAGTATTAATTTCATTACTAAATAAGTTCTTAATCTCACAGAAGGCTTTGTGACTACATAATATTAACTTAGCTAGGTACATACTTACTTTAAATATTCATTAGCTTATAGAAATACTTAAACTTCTTTTAACGTTTTGTTGACGATTTTGGGATTTTACAAAATGTTTCTCTTTGTATGTCAACTTGTCTTGTTTTTGTTTGTATGTCAATGTTTGTTTAATTGTATGTGAAACCCCTTAAGAAGTTTAAATATTTGTTTACAATTTTTACACTTATTGGTATGAAAAATAAAAGCTGCATCTTTGGATCCATTATACACTAAAATCAAGACTACATTTTTATTGAATTACTGTCACAAAGTTATACACTTAACTAAACGATATGTATTACTTTCAACTATTATTATATGCCAAAGTATTGTCAGGGAACTATGTGTAGTTAGATTGAGGAACAAATTTGATAGATCATTGAGAAAAAAATAATTTCAAATTTTATTTTTTTAATTTCAATTGCTTAAGACACAACATTGTTTTGTACTAGAGCAAAGATGTATAATAAATATAGTTTTGAAAATAATTTGTTTAGCTTGTTTAGAAGCATGGCCCTAATATTATAAAAGGTCGAAGTATTTTCAAAATAATTTAAATACAAAACATGACTCCTCTTAATCTAATTCTTAGTCACTCTTAACGATAATTGACCGTTAAATAAAATCGAAAGAAGCTTACTTTGGTACAGCGATAATCAACTGAATACTATCTATTTATTTCCAACATTGACAGTCATCTTTTACTATGTTTATTTTATACAATACTTTTAATTATATTTTTACACGCCATTTTACATCCAAAATAAATGCCAATGGGAAATGATCATGACATATGAAAAAAAATGTATGGACGGACAGACAAAGGTGTTAAAATTAAACAGCCATTATAAATAGTTACAAAGGTTAAATCAAGTCACTAAAATAAACCAATTGTGCCTTTTACATAATGCAAGCTCCGCATATTGGAACCAATTTTATATAGCCTGCACTCTGTAGTATAATACACAATGTATTTATGTTAGGAAAACATAGACTATATTTCAAATTTATTTAAAAAAAAAACTTACATATTTTGGTGTTTAAAAATGATTATAGATTCTTCTCGATATTAAATAAATACTTTTTATAATAATGGTTATGTCTCTTTGATACTATTGCCTCCAACATACGGCGTAAAAAAAGAACATTCAAATTTCAAAATAAAAAATTATGTGAGGTTATCTCGCCAGTCTTCGTGCAGCTGCTGCGATGTGCAGTTAGTTGCACACCATCGTGAAAGCGCTGTGGGAGGGCACGGCGCTCCTCCAGGCCGTTGTCGTCGTATTATTCGTCGTGTACGCATCGCTGAGCCAACACAGCCTCCATCACTGCGGCATGGACTCCATTCACCCCATTCTGATACCCGACAATCTAGCAGCCCTGGAATAAATACCGAATCAGAAACGGCCTCTAACATTTCTAAGCAACAAAGTCTATTTTATCTTATTTGAGACAGAACTTGAACACCAAAATTAAATTTATAGTAAAAGTAATTTTTTTAATATACATCCCTTAACTGAGGTTCAAATGACAGCAAATCATTTTCTTTTGTTATAGAACAAAAAATAACTTTGTAGCGCCAAAAGAATCTCAACATCCCTCATGTGTTAAATGATCTGAAAATATTAGTACCAAAACTATTTCAGTCTTATGAAAAAACATAAGGTATTAAGTCAGCAAGACCCAGTATTAAGGAAGTTAATGGTGTTGACTAACTAACGAGGTTACTCTTCCAGACCTATTGTATAATGTATAAGGGTCTTAGTATTTATTTTAGTTTTCTCTTAGTTGTTTTGTCCACACTATACTAAATATTTTTATGAAAATTTCGTTTTCTTTCATTTCATTTCCTCCGGAGTAGTTTCTTTTTTTTTACGACAGCAATTTTAGTAAGTGTAGCAAAGTTGCTATTTACGAGTATTACGTATATAGTTTTGAGTTCTCTTTGCCTGGTATAACATTTTAGAAACTTCCATTACTTAATTTAAAATAATAACATTTCTACAAAACTAATTTAGCTAAAAGCCCTAGGTGGTAAAAGGTATATATTTGTAGATAATTTTAATTCCCTGATCCCTTTTCAATGACATACTACTAGTCATCAAGGTATTACTAGTCATAGCTATCTGACAGCCATTTTAATAGGCTGGTATTCGGCTGTAGTCAGGTAATTCAAATCTGTACCTAAATTTGCGCTGTTCTATCTTTTTCAGATCTCGATTTAATTTCGTCAATAACAGTTTACACCTGAACAGATTTGATGTAATCTATTTTAAGCTTAATATATTATATACTGAGGGTGGAATTAGCTCAGCTTTACAGCTCATTGTGGAGAAATTCCTTTTCCTTCTGCTAACTGCTAAATTTGTCAATATTTAATTCTTCAAGAGGCTTATATCATCATCAAGAGTTTGGTTGACCTGTTGATCTAGTGGTTAGTAAATCTGACTGTTAAGACAGAGAATTGGAGATTGGGCCTCTGGTAACCTCCGGTACAGACTCTACTTACAGACTTTGCATATTATGGCACCAGCTGGCCATGTGTAAGATGTGTCAAGATATTATTGTAGGTTTAAGTTGAAGTATTTATCAGCAATGTCTTACTAGCTCTTTTCCGCTTTCTCCTCTCTGCCGGATCAGTGTTGTCTGCACGGAGCTTGCGTCGTCGTCTTGCCCTATACCTGCGGGCCAAGCTTCGGAGAGCTGATTGTTCGCTGGCAGCTGGACCTGAAGTTGGAAGCTCGTTGGCAGAGCGAGGCTCTTCGGTCGTACTCGATGTCGTGTTTGTCCTATGAGAGTTTAACATTGTTAACTTAAATTGTAACTTTTTTTTAATGTTATAAACTTTAATAAAAATGTACAATTTAAATATAGTAATGGTATTTTCTGAGATATCAATGAATTAGTTTTCAAACAATTTGTAAAGATATTAATTTCGGTAACTATATGTAAGATAAGTTTATTAAAAATAGTTAATATTTACTACATATTTATAAGATAAGTTTATTAAAAATAGTTAATATTTCATACATGTTTAAGAGCTATGTCTATGTGAACAGAGCTCCGAAAACTAAAAAACTTTGGTCAACTAACCTATGCCTTATTAAGTTTAAAAAATATCGCTACTACTAATTCCTACTAACTTACAAAGAATAATAAGAATATGCCCCATCAGGCGTGGTCATTGACCCCTCAGAGTATATCCTGGGTGCTTCCTCCGCTCTCTCTACTTCCTCAGCGACGGATAATGCTCTGTTTCCATCCAGTACATCAATATTATTGTGATTTAGCTTATCTAGTTGAAGAACGTCGTATTTTCGATCGTCGCTGCTGCGGTGGAACACTTCGGAGAGTTCGTATTCTCGTAACTGTTGAAGAAATGGTAACCGTTAATACCCAACCCGGAAGAACAAGATCTCCAGCTTAAAACATATACTTTACCTACACCTACATATACTTTCTATACATTATATTATCATCATAATCACTGTCGCATTTCTTCCTTTTTCTCGAACTGTTTGGGGTTCACGCACACATCATCACACCATCACATCAACAGCCTTTAATAGTCCACTGCTGAACATAGGCCTCTTCTTAGAAAGGAGGTTTTGGCCTACTATACCACGCTGGCCAGACGGGTTGGTATAGGGTTTGTGTCAAATTTTCCTTCTCTCTGCAGTGCTATTGTCCTGCGTGGTTTGCTCCCTTAGTCGCCTCTTACGACACCCACGGGATGAATAGGGGTGGTGACCATACGGACCACCGGACCGGTGTTTACGAAATATTTGATATTTAAAGGGTCTTTGGCTATTTTCTTTTGGCAGAAAATATTATCATTTTCAGACGATAACAAATAGGGCGAGCCTTATACTTGGAATAGTAAGTCTCATACTTGGTAAAATGACTAAGAGTGCGCTCGAAGGAAATGAGGAGCTCGAATAGGCCGGGATTTCGTCCTCATATCCCATCCTGTTATTTAATGACACTCCTAGGATAGTTTCCACCAATTTCTATTACATTAATAATAAAATATTTTGATATTGTTATCATTATTGTGCAGTGATATAAGGAATTGGTAAGCGGGAATAACATCTAACTGAGTTTAGTTGAATATCAAAATTTTCTGATTTTTTTTCCCAGTTTTTTTTTGCAGTTAAGAATGTTATTCTAATGGCCGTATGTAATTTGATGTTGAGTAATTTAATATTGCATTAGAAATAGTATTAACTGTATCCTCATCGATGCAACCTTATACAAACTAGAAAGACATTAATGTAAGTACTATAAATCTCTCAGTAAATTCCAGTCTTAAATTCCTATAAACAGCAAGTAACACAAATTGTATATGTATTTTCTGTAAACCTAATTATGTAAAATTTAAACCATCAAAAACATTTTAGTCCAAACTGGAAAATACGAGTTGATGGTTTTAAATTTAATTCAATTTCGAATGATTTACCTGCGCTGGTGGATTACAACATAACATGTGTGGAAAATATGTAGATAATTAATACGGCATACGTAGGTATTATAAAATCTCTTTGAGTATATTGAATTCTTTTATTTAACTATTTCAATGTGACTCTCTCTAGCATGTTCTCTAGATCTGCATTGTTATGTGTTTCGAAAAAAAAAACAATAAATTACAATCTTGGACGATTTAATTAGTTAGTGTTAGAACTGTGTACACTTTATAGGCTGGGTTGGCAACATTGCGTCTGGTACGTCATTTTGGCCGAGATTATAAACATCTGGGCGCGGGCGGAGCGCCCTCTTTTACCCAAAAAACTTTGTACTATTAATAAGTTCTATAACCAGGCTTAATGGTTTAAGTTAATACTAAAACATTACTAATACCAATTATCGTAACGTAACGTGATTATATCTTGTTTGATTGATTTAAACAAGCTGTAGTTAACATAAGGGTATACTCTAAAACTATATATTTATGTATATAAACATATATTTTGAACATTGTGGGATACTATCCATAATTGATAACATTTCATGGTACTGTTTTCCAAAAGCTTTTACTGTAAACATCATTAATATTATATTAGAAATTAATGTGACGTTTTGAGTGATGTACCGACAGACAGACCTGTTGAAATAATAGACATTGACAAATGACGAGTTATTTGTCTTTTGACGTTCGTACTTTTGACATGGGCATAATTTATTATTAGTTTTGGAACTTAATTTACTTAAGAGTTGTAATCCCCTTTAAAAACAATGATTTTCATAATTACCAAGTATTAAAAACTTGTTCCGCAAAGCTTTTAAGTTTAAAGCTTTAAGTTTATGGTATAATTTAGCAAACAAGATTGGCGCCGGTAACCCCTTCACTCGCAACGGTTTAACACCGGTTTTCTCCGATCAAGCCTGCCCGTTTGAGAAGAAGAATAGCTCTCCCACTACAAAACCTACATAAAAACCTCTAAGTAAAATACTATTAACAATATGACTATTCTAGGACGAGTTTTTTTGCGGCAAAAAACACTTTATTTAAGCTGTTAAAAAAACATTATGTAAGCTATTCTACATATGAGTTTATTGTATCCATTATTTATTCAGATTTATACGAGTAGTCAGCATACCGACATGTTCGGTATACTCTTAAATGATATTCTGGCATGTGATATGACAGCTCATTTATTTTGTATTATAAAAGAATTAACAGAAAAAGAACAGAATAATTGATATGACTTAAAGTTTGTACTTAGCCCAGATTGTGGTCTGGACGATTGTATGAAGATAAAATAATGTATGTATTATTATTAAGATTTTAAATGTTAATTGCAATATAAGTTGAGACGTTGGTGGGCGGCGATGGTCACTTTCCACTTTTCCGTGTTGTGACAGATTAAGAATACGGAGTTCATCACCCCTCTTCATCCCGTGGGTGTCGTAAGAGCCGACAACCAGCACTGCATAGAGAAGGAAAACTTGACACAAAACCTATACCAACCCGTCTGACCAGCGTGGTATAGTAGGCCAAAACCTTCTGTCTAAGGAGAGGCCTATGTCCAGCAGTGGACTATTAAAGGCTGTTGATAATGATGATGACACTACACCATATTTAAGCCTATACACAAGCGCTATATATTTTTTTTACGTGCGCAATTGTCTGTTTAACCAATAGAAAAGCAGATATATACCTTTATGAATTGAAACGTAGCAATCGGAGGCAGTCTTCTCAAATGCGGGTAGAAGAAAGAACCTGCTGGATGTGATGGGTACTTCGAAGTGATACGATATGCAATGCCCTGAGGAGCGGTCGGCCAATTCGGTGCTGTGAATGTGAATCCATTGTCCGTGCCTGCATCTAACGGATCCACCTGTGACAAAACAATGGAATGTAGAAAGAGTAAGTTTAAAAGTTAGTTTAAAATCTAAAATAAAAGAAAGAGCAATAAATAAATAAAATATAATATAAAATTAATTATAAAATAAAAATAATGATGTCGTTGGTCTATCATTTTTTATATTTTAAAATGTATTTTTATTTCTTTTGTAATATATTTAAAAATGTAATTAATATGTATATGTAATTTAATAAAGATAATAATATAATAATAATATATAGTAAAAAATAATAGCTTTTATTAATTGTATAATAAAGTGTTAAGTAAAATGTAAGTTCTAATTCATATTTAAAACTTTACTTTTAGTTTATAATATTTTTTATAATATTACGTTACATAAACATTTGTCATATTAATTCTATATACCTACGGTGCATTTTTACTAGACTCATGAGCGAAGCGTTAGTCTTATTTACAACACAAGTTGGCAAGAAAATTTCCTACTAATGGATTTTTAATTTTAGTTAGAGTACCTTATATTTAAATTATTTTTTCAAACAATCAGGCATACGATAAAGTTCAAATATTGGCAAAAAAATATATAATAAAATTGTATTACGTTATTTAAAATGGCAGTTTATGTTTAAAACGTTTAAAATCTTACCTCAATAGTAATGCTATCAAGCCAGTTGCCGTCGACACAAAGATCGAAACTGTCCACTCCAATGAACCAATCAGGAGACGGGATCATTCGCGCCATCACCGACACCTGTCACGAGACATTACAGTTCAAATTACAACAATAAAAAAATATTAATTCTTCTTCAAGTCGTCAAAGATAATGTCCCTTTTTTATCGCCTAAAAGTTAAATATAATTAAAGTGTGTCTGTAAATTTAACTATGGACAACATTTTGTTCTATTTTTTCATTAAAATAATTTTAATTTTAAAGACCACTTTTAAAAAAGAAATATGGAATTAACTAACGAAATAACCAGACATGGCTATTTTGTTGCGTTATATATACCAGCCCATCGTTATACAGCGTTATACATCCCTTTATAATCTGCTTAAAGACCTTGGATTGCCAAGAGCTTCGGTAAGCTTTTGTTTTAACAAATATAAAAGCAGCATTGTTAGGTTCATTTGATATGAATCCAGAAATGCTGCTTTGGATATTTGTTAGGTAAAGGAACAGCAGACAGTGGAAGCGAGCGCTGACACGTCGCAAGGAGTACTCCCTAAGCCTACTCCTAGGTCGCAAGTCGCGCTGTTGTATTCGCATGTGTTGACCCATCTATCACGCGATGGACCCGGCAACGAAATGGTTAATCCATGGAAGGCTAAGAAGTCATTACTTTGTTCATATCCGCTTATAAAGCATTACCTATATTTTGAATAATTTTCGGTTCATATAGATTCTTATATACACTTGATTGTCTGACCTTTTGGTCTAGTGGTTAATGACCCTGACTGTGACCGATGAGACACTATTCTAAATTCTAATATTTTTTTTGTATAAAATGAGACACTATTTTTTAAATTCTAAATGCTAATAATTTTTTTTGTATAAATTGTTAATGTATTTAAAAATGAAATGTATTGAATTTAATAAAGAGAATGCAAATAAAATTTATTTAGTGTCACAAAAATACCTTTATACTATGGTAAGTAATACAAAAAGAGAAAGTCGACATGATTTTGGTTCATAAGAAATTGAACCCTATCTCTTAAGCTAGGCAGTGTCTAGTGTGTCTAAAAAGTTAAAAGTAAATATAGGACATGTCTATTATTTGTTTATTTAGGAGTTGCCAATATTTGTTTACACGCTAGTAAATTTCAGAAACAAATAATATCAAGTAAAGTAAAATAAATACTTAAAGGCAAATACAACATGCACTGTTTTGGTACTTTTTCTATACAAAACAAGAAAACTAAAATTAACAAAATATTGAACATGGACAGGTTGCACGTTGCGAGCACGCACTAATTTTGCATGTCAGACGAGAATGACAGAAATGACGAAATATGTGATTCACTTATAAAAACTATAAACAACCTATGTACCATATTTCTACAACTAAAATATCATTTCATTTTATTTCGTTTATTTATCTCTATAATATTCTAAAAGTGTGAATCGGAACTTATTAAACGAGACTGCATTGATATCGAAAAAAGCACTAGATTGATTTGCCAACCTTGAAAGCCTTGGAATCGGTGAATTGGCTAAATAAACTGTTATACGTAGTGCAGGGTAGAAGGGTGTGATTCGGTACCGAGGGTATTTAGCTGGAATAAGCAACCTAATTTATTGCAATAGTTGCGGGCAGCTGAAATTGTGACTTCTAATTTGTTTTTCAACGAGTAAGTGAGGTTATTGAAGCCCAAACCCAGGAGACGATCTTGCCCCCTAACTCTGAAGGGAGGACTTAAAGTATGGCAACGGTCTTGTGACTCCTGCGTTGCATATATCCAACGGCGGCGGTAGTAACTTACAATCAGAGCCTAAATTCTGCTATTTTAATATTATATCAACAGACTGTCGATGGAATGTCATTGGAATAGTTTTACACTTTTCGTATTCTACTAACTATGTAAGACTAATGGCCTGGATGACTTGTCACTGAACTGCTACTAATACAAATGTCATCAATGCCTTTATAATAGTTTGATGAAGTATTTAATTTTTCAGAAATGGCAAAAATGTTTTCTTACATTTGATAAACAACGTCATCTAGTTTCAAATTAAGCAGAGCTTGTACTATAAAAGTCTGACTATTGATAAAATACCTCGTATATTTACTTTTTTTTGTAAATATATACATTTTATATATAATACATAGAAAATATCCAAACTACGAAACAAATATTTGCAGAACATTGTCACTTTATCCACAGTATATTGACACTGTGAATTTATATTAGTAGAATACCGATATTTTAATCGCTGTCAATGGCATCTCAGTAGCGTCGCAATGGAATAGCAGAAAGAAGCTTGTACGTTACCAAAATAGTAGACTAGAGGCCCACGTGACCCGTTTGCTCTTTTGGCCTTTTATACCATAAAAAAATGTAATTGCATAGTTATAATTATATCTACAATATACGTATATTATAGATACAAGTACAACAACCTTCCTCTAAATTAAACGTTCAATAATACAGGTGAAAGAGACAATGAAAATTGATCATATATATATACCTTGGTTCAATATTTACAGAAATAATGGTCTCATAGAATTAAAAGGTGGTAATTAAGTTGTAACGTAGTTACCTTTTTAAAGAGCAGCGTAATTTATATTAATGGGAGTTCTTACTGCGTGTGACTTGGTTCAATGATTACAATTTGATATTACTTGTTGAACTAAATTCGTGGATGTAAAGCAAGCGATTTAATTTTTAAATATATTTACTATTTATTACACCAACAACTATTTATTATATTAACATGTTAAAGTGGTAACAGATAATTTGAGAGACGGGTACAAATTCAAAGTAAAAAAGTACCTTTAATGAACAGTCTCAAATGTAGGACTCTAACGACTGTATGTGTTTCCTTTTACGGAAGTAATATCGCGATGTTATATATAATTAAACCTTTCAAAAATGAATTTAAAGTACAATGTGAGGCATACAAGCAAAAACAGTTGAGTAGCGGGCAAACGAGCAGACCGGTCAGCTGAAACTGTAAAAGGTGGTAATTAAGTTATAACAGCGTTACCTTTTTAAAGAGCTGTGTAATTTAAATTGATGGGAGTTCTTACTGCGTGTGACTTGGTTCCCTGTTTACAATTTGATATTATTTGTTGAAGTAAACACGCAGATGGAAAACAACATTAGCAAGTAAATTATTTTAATTCAGTTTTTTTATGAAAGATCCCCTTCCCACAGAATTAGGGGAAGTTGGGCCTTGGGCTCCGATAAACTTACTCACTACTTGAAAAGTAACATAAAAATTCTTAGCACCAATTTTTCTGTGAGACCGTAGTGGCTCTCCACCATCATCGATGGTGATGGCTCTCCCACGATAAATTTATTTATAGCAAAAAATATTGACTTTATTACTTAGTTCAAAAGTCTTATTAGTTAAAATAGCAGCAGTATGAACTTTGTATTTAACTTACAACATAACTGAACTTCCGTGATTCAAGTACCGGCGCGATGTGAACGAGGCACAAGTGAGGTAATGGCATCACGTAGTTCGCGTCGCAATTCATTTCCTTAATTATTTAACTTAATTCCCGTTAAAAGTACTACTTTTACAGTAGTATGTAGATAGTAGTAATTAGTATATTTCAAATAAGTATTTATATGTATTTCAATAGCAATATTTCAAAAGTTGCTTGTAGAACCATACCTTGCTTGTAGGACCGTATTTGTCGGGGTGGTTTTTAGTGGAATAACCACATACTCCTGGCTCCGGAGTCCCCGAGGAGCAGGAGATCCGAAAGAATTTTAAACACCATCATCAAAAAAAGACCGTATTTGGTGAAAGACCGGTGGTGTTAAGAATTAGCGTACAACCCGGTAGTATCTAGTTGAGAACTTGGCTTGTATTTTTGGACTTTTTCGTTTTCTATTCTGTGACTAACTATTGCTAAGTGGACTTTGATTTGTGTTTCTGATACTGTTGCAGATGATGACCTGTACGAACGACGCATATGTTCATATCTTGATTTCTTACGGATACTGCAAATGTGTATCCGTAAGAAATCAATAACATCCGGCACTCGACCGCCTATCCCGGTGTGCAATGTATTCATCCAATAAAATAAAGAAAATAACTTCTAAAGTAATTCAATTGGACTCCTTAGAAAAGAGGTTCTGGCCCACTACACCACGCTGGTCAGATGGGTTGGTATTGGGTTTGTTTTAAGTTTTCCTTCTTTTTGCAGTCTGTTGTGTAAACAACTCTTACGTCACCCACGGGATGAATAGGGGTGGTGAGACTCCGCATTCTTAATCCGCCACCACAATCCGTAACTTGGATAATCTCCGTAACTTAGATCATTTTGTGTCAATCTATTTTTTACCTATTCGTTTACATTGTAAATTTGGTACTCTCACTCTTTTATTTACTACCCTTAGCAATTTATCTTTACTAAATTGTTCAGCTAAATAAGTGGGTGATCCTACTTCCAACTTTTATGTATGTAAGTTTTATTTACCCTTCTTAGTGACTCCGCCCATACGACTGAGTTTGTTGGCTCATCTTATTTCGTTCAGTCTGTTATTATTTGGAATCCTCTTCCTTCAATTGGCAGAATCAATTCGTCCAAAATTTTACATAAATATGTAAACCTCCTTTCTAAGGAGAGGATGATGATGATGATGATGATAATCTGTATGCGTATGTTTACTTATCCTTATGCCTTTATGTATAAGTTTTTATATAGATAAAACACATATACGTACGTACATATACGTATGTAGATATATTTTTATATATTAGATAACATATTTAGTAAGATTGGATACTATTTTGTTTGTATATCTATTAAACTTTTATTCCTTAACCTCTTAGTACACCCGAAATTGTTTTACTTGTTCTGATAAGTACTTTTATATTTCCTTATCATAATTATTTGTTTATAATAAATTATAAAACACACATATTTCCAATTGACTTCTTACCTTCTCTTTAAACAAATGAATAAATAATATTATTAAACTCTTTAATAAATACTGCTACTAAATACTTAACCGATTACTCATGACGATTAACCGATAGAGCATCAAAATTAGGGTACGCAATAAAACGTACTCGATCCTCGATTCGATAAAACTTTTATTAATTGCTTATTCGTTTTGAGTTCCCGGTTCTTTTATTTGTTCGTGTTCGTAATTGGTGTTTGTTCTGGAGGCATTAATTAATGATGAAATACGATATTTTTGGATATTGTTTGTTGGGTTACGAGTGCAATTCTGCAGCGGTTAATGGCCCCAGCGTTTTGTTTGTGCAGTTGGAATTTTAACTTACAAAGATATGATGCAGTGGCCATCGTGTTGAGTTATGTTTTACAGTTTGCATTTGTTTTCATGAGAGGCAATTCACCAAAATTTGTTGTTTTAAAATGGTTTGCTTTCAGTGTTGTACTATTGGTACTGTTAGTATTATTGTCACTAAACTTACATCACGTGGGCATCACCTCCTCGCGGCTGGCCACTATAGCGGATGGAGGAATAGCGGAAAACCCGTCCCCGTCCACCCGCGGCTATACTCAGAGCGGCATGAGGCGGTGGTAAGCGCGCCTCCGGTGCCCGATTCGCCGACGATGAATTTGGTCCAAGTGGAGGCTATCCTCCCGGGCCCTCTCCGTGGCCTTCTTAGCAGAAGGATGCGACCGCGGTAAAACATCTCAACATCAAGGAAAGGGTCCCATGCTGCCATCCTGCCCACTCGACGATAACCGGCTGGAGCGCCTCTACGACGGCAAAACCAGCACGTGAAACCTCTAGCCGGGATGACCAACGAGCCATCGTAGCTAGGCGAACGGCCTCACGCCACTCACGCCGATATACTACGGCGAGCATTTCCATCTCCAAATCACCAAAAACTGTGTGGTAACTGCATATGACTCTAACCGCCAATATCTTCTGAGGGCGCCAGAGGCGTGCCCTATTCTGAGCGGTCAGAGTCGCCGCCTACACCGGTGCACCGTATAGTGCCATTGACCGGACAACCCCCTTGAATTGACTCAAAAGCACATAACAGTGCTACAAAAATTACTATTAAAATATATTGTCAACGAAGTATCTTTTGTTTATTCGACGCCAAATGTAATCGAGTCTTTGCCGGGTAGCGTTGCATTTCTGATTTCAATTGCAAAATTATTGTAGTTTCAGGATTGCCTTACTTTTCTACGCAGTGTACGCAGTACAGTAAACTGATAACAATTGGTAACATACCCGCAAATATCTAGAGATCTTTCGGTCTAAAATTGACCCCAACTATTTTTGTTTTTGTATACTATTTTTTTAGTCTCATATTCTTTTAATCGACGCCCAGATAACAAGGAGAAGTTTCTGAACTTGGTTGTATTTTAAGTTTGTTTTATGTATGTTAGTTACTTCAGAACTTTATCAGTAATCAAACTTTTTTGAAAATTTGATAGCTACAGAACTATGGGACCTTTATAAATACATGAACAAATATTTATTTAGAAATCTAACTTATATATTTAATTGAGTGAGTTGGTTTGCCTATTTATTTCTTATGCTATTGATTCTGCTACTCAACGGATACTCAGGATTTTTTATTCCCGAGGTTGCCAAGGTAATAGAAATAAAAAAAAATTGATTTAGAAAAAGACAACTGGAACAGTAGACTGTCCCTTGAACATTACCCGGAGAAACTATTAATAAATCTAAATTTGCATAAAGTTAAAAAGATATCACCTTATACGTGAGATTAAAATATTTAAAACTTGTACTTACCCTGGAATGATTTCCATCAACAAAGAATTCCGCTTCAGTTCTTCCAACTCCTTGCCCAACCGCCGGAGCGCCAAATACATCCATTGTCCCGGGAGCAGACCCAAGGGCATCTGAACGTCCAGACTCGGCGAACTGTCTCACTGAAGGTGATACCCGCCGACCTAAGCGAAACAGCACATACGAGCGCTCGTGGGACACACCTGTGGACAATAGTGGCAATAATTTAGTCATTTGCGGTTTACATATGCATCAGCTTACTTTTACTCCAACTTTTTATGCAAATCTTTCCCTTATTTAAACAAACTGTTCACGAATCAGTGAGTCAAAGCTTAACAGAAATGCTTTAAGGGCCAGCAACAAATCTCGTAATTATTGAGCATTAAAAAAGTCTATGTATCCCTGATGTACGTGTTGTATACATTTTTTGTTACATTACAAAAACGTTCCCAAACTTCAGATGATAGAATTAAAATTTATTCCAATAAATATTTACCATACCCTGTATATCAGGGCACGGTGTAGTTAATGAAGGTTTATTAAATCTCAGATAAACTGCGAAGGGTACGAGAAAGGGTAACAAATTACTTCACAAACAGTTCCCTGTAAAAATCTTATCTCGAGTTCCTCAATGTTCGCATCTTCGTCGAAAATTCGCAGTTTTTTCGCTTAGGAATAATTTATTTTAATTTACGCATTTAATCTTTTAATTTTGAGTAGAATAGATAACTTGAAGTTGGGGTATTAATTAATATAAAACATGGTTGTTATGATCCTCGCTCGAATTAAGATTTTTTTTTTCATATTAATGATTTAAGGATTGCCTAGTAAATTAATGAACATTTGAAAATGAAAATAAAGCTGTGAGGATTTTAAAATTGCTTTAGAAAATTAACTTACATCTAATTTAATTATTTGTTACTAAGTAAACTGCCTTCAGGTCCTTAGAAAAAAGGTCTTGAGGATCAAAAGAATCATAAAGTTAAAAATTATTGACAAAAATAAAAAAATAAACGATTGCGTGAAAGTGTATATTTAAAATTTACAAACCAGCGATTTTAATTTTTATATCTTTGTTGGTGTCACTCTCACAACAACACGAACCAAGCATCTCATCAACCGGAAAATTCATCAAGCAATTCGTACATACTTACACTCAGAAAACAAAACCCTAAAAAACCCTAACCCTCTCAAAACAACACGTTCTGAAGAAAAATCTTCACGTTTTATCATTAGAAGATATTATCATTTCATATTATAATATCGATATGTTGATGTTATAGAATGGTCATTCAAACTACATATTCATACGAACTTTCAATTCGCTACAACAATTAGAAGTAGGTTAATAGCCCAAGAGCCCACAACGGCCAGAACTTCGTTATTTCATAAAAGCTGAAAGCATCTGGGTTGTCATATCATGCACTTGAACAATTTTTAACTTGCGCTCGCACCTACAGCGACCCTTAAATGTGTCTGGCAAGATATAAAAACCGTTAAAACTGTCCGGCAATTGAGGTAACATTTTTATAGGTCCCCAAGTAACATATATAATTTATGTTTATTCAATATTAACGTGTCAATTCAAATGTCAGGCAAACATAAGTCAAAGACGCTTGTCTTTGAAGTGAATAAATATGTCGCATGTCACAGTTTCTCTACTAAAACTGAGTAAATTACAGTCTGGAACATAATTGTCTGTAACATTTAAAGGTAAAATAATACACCAATAAAAACCGAAAAAAGTTTCGACACTGAAGACGACCTATTTATTTTTGATCAGCGTCATAAATATTTTTAAATGGTACTTCAAACAATTGCCAAAAACTGAGTCACTTGCAAGTAAACAAAAAATAAAACAATTAGAGCACAACCTTGTTCTCATTATAGAGGCAAAGCGTGTACATGGACTGTGTATTTTTTTGATACTTTTTCCAAGAAATGTCCTTTTTTATAATCTCTGTCTCTTTATAAAATTTCTCTTTCCTATATCAGGTTACGATAAGAAAATGCAATGTATCCTGGTTGAAATTCGCCATCAATTCAACCTCCACAACTAAAATACTAAGGTACATAATGCGTAATAAAAGAATTTTCTCTTGTCAACTATGACTTTTGTTGGACATATTTTTTATGACCAACTTTCAGAGATATCTTTTAATATAAATATATGTATTTATGTGTTTGTTTACGAATGTCCCCACAATCCTGTTTTTAAAATGAGTACATTATCCTCCAACGTTACGCCGCAATCATTAAGTACTCCTATATATTACAGTAAGTACTTGGCAGTGAAATAAAATAAATCTTTCTGGATTATATTTGTGTTCGAGTGAGAAATCAATTTATACAGAAGTAGGTATCATTTTCGTAACGGTGGCAATTATGTATTTTAGGTTTTTTTTTTACCAACTTTGTATTATTTAAAGTTGGTCAAAATTGAGACGGTTGGCTTATCGACTTAGAGGAACTATAGTAAAAATAAAAATAAAATTTATTCGACACAAGTTTACAATCACAAATATTAACATAGCAAACTGCGAAACAGTTTTTCGGTGGGATGAATGTAGGTTCAAACTCTAAAAAGTAAATCTTAAAAGTATTATATACCTTTAATTCGTATTGTTAGAATTATATATTTTAAAAATTGGTTAATCATTAAAACAGTAAATTAGTTTTAACACATTTTTACCTTGCTGAAAACTTACTCTCATAGTGTATAATGTAACAAAAAGGTTTTGTCAAATTTTAGGGAGGTTATTTTGCCTATAAATACTCGTAGTTCATTTAGCTTAAATCATATTTTTAAAAGAATACTATTCTAGAGTGTGTGCACAATTCTAAACAACAAACAAACTCTCAGGTCATAAATATATATTTTGAAATTTTTGTTTATAGATGTTTTTGGAGAGATCTTGAAATGTCCATTTCTATCTTAGGAAGTCACTAATGTCTTAGGGTTAGCGCTCCTCCCAAGGGGGGAGGACGAACAGCTCTAGCAGCATGCTTTAAGTAACTTCGACTCCAATACTCTGACAAATCGTAGCGATATTATATCCACTAAAATTGCATCAATTACATACGTATAAATAAATTCATGTCAGTCCACTCTCATTTAAAATATTAGTTATATAAAGATATTTGTTTAGATACAAATTCTTCATCAAATTAAAGTGTCAATTTAATGAAGCCTTTCATTAAAATGAAGAAGAAATTAATTCATACGTCATAATTACAACACAATATAGTCAGGCTTGGAGAGAGGCCACTACTGAACCGTTTAATTTTACATTGTAGCGGGTATCCGATTGAGGTGTGTCGCTTTCACTTACACCTACTTACACTACGGGGTCACCTTGTCTTACCGAATATCTATACTAGTGATTGACCATTTAGGGCTTCTAGTCATTACCGTCACTGCCAAACTAAACTCCGGATAGCAATTCAAGGCCGTCATATTTGCAGCTTCTAATAACTTAGGAGTCATTTCAAAGTTCTAGCGATATTTTAGTTGAATAGACTTTAAACAACTCAATTCGATCTTGTATCTCTAGGGAAAAAGAGTAACCCCAAAGTTGAATGCAGTACTCCTCTTCAGTTATTATTTGGGATGGCTCAGCTAAATAGCAACTTAATACTCTGGATTCTATTGATGGAAGCTAATATCATCATCATCAACAACCTTTAATAGTCCACTGCTGGGCATAAGCCTCTCCTAGAAAGGAGGTTTTGGCCTACTATATACGACTAATATACGAAGCTAATATACGACGATGTAATTACGAATAGAAAACTGCCTATTCATGAACAGCTCTCGTTCAAATGAAGTCTGGAGTATGGAACGTTTGAGAGTAAATCTATGAATAAGAAAAAAGGTTTCCCTTGCATAGGCGTATACTATCTTCATTTACAGTATCTTTCTCTAATAGAAGAGTTGGAAGACAGACGTCTAATCCATTAGTCGTTTGATAAAAATATACTTTTTTCTATGTATAACGTGTTTTCGATACAGTCTTGATACATTATATATTAGATATAGATTGGTCTATTTAGAACTTACGATCGCTCTAGGCAACCAGCGAAGGGCATGCAGTCCCACGCTTATCTTACTTATCTATTTTGGTCTTGTGTAGACATATAATATTATGTAGTATGTGTAACAAGCTAAAGTATTTAGATCGAAATGAAAATATCTCATGATGATTTATTCATCTGTATATATAAATACAGGAAGATAATTCTCTGTTCGCCTTTTTATATGTCATAGACAAATGTAAATGTGTAAAGTTAGAAAAATCCAAATAACTAACATTAACGATTAACATTACTAAAATCGTTGCCAACAGTACTCTTTCCCTTCAAGAAACACGACATTATTAGCTATAATTTATTTCGGAAATTTAAAGGTAAAAAGACAACAGTACTATAATCGAAATAAAATTATAATCAGCAACAGGAAAATTGACAAATGTAGTCAAGGCAAGGAGTTCTTGTTGCTGCTGTTGTTCAGAATTCATAATGAATAGTTTTTATAGCCAAGACCGTTCAGTTCTAATATCTGCGTCCAATGTGCAAATTCTAATATTAATAAATTTACACATCTCACACATGACATTCTGATCCCAAACTAGGCAGAGTCTATGGTAACCTGACTGGATTGACAATGGCAATCTCAATCCCCCAGTGCCACATACCAATCAGATAATATGCATATGTATACCTAATATCACATAACTAATTTAAATATAGAAAGTCGTTATTTGCATATCATGCATTCAAAGCAAGTTAAACTATAAATCGACCTCAACATACTTTTTCATTATTTTCTGCGCACATGCGAAGTTGTTTATTTAAACGATTTATTGTGATATTTTATTCTTTTTACGAACCCAAGTCATTGACTTTTCAAGACTAACATATTTACAACACAATATAATTTTCGTATGACGATAAATACTTTACGTAAGATGACATGATTCATATAAGCAATTTGATTTCATAAATTGCTTGAGATGTCGGGATAATATTTTTATTTTAGTAGTATAATTTATGTTACGTGATGAAAGAAAGCTCAAAGTTTTTTTTTATTCTGTAGCTGAGTTTTTGAACATGAATAAGTATTTCTTGTCGGTTATATAAAAATTGTTAATACAGAATTTCGAAAGTTGTGTCAGTAAATTGTCAGGTAATATTTAATGTAAAT